ACATTTTGCATATCTTTGTAGTATGCTTCACTATCTCGTAGCCTATGTTACAATTATAGTTCTCCATAAGTCCTTTCCACTTTTTATCTATTGAAATAGCTTCACTACTGTCTTGTCTGAGCAGTAGTGAATATCAGTTCACAAACATAACCAAATCTATAGCTGAGGTCCCGCGAAGGTAGTACAGCAATATTATTTTCTTTCTGATTATAACTTGTATTATTTCGTCTTCGTTTGTTCGCAGCCCTCGAACACTCCAAGTCATTATATTTGAATTAACAATAATCCCGTTTACCTTTCTTCTTAGCCATGTCATCATCAAAATTTGAGTCCGGCATTTTTCCATTGAACAAGCGAGATATTAATTAAAACCCGAAATGTTTCAGCGTCTCATGAAATACGATGACTGATAGGGATGTTATCTTCAGGTCTGGCATCTTACCTAGCTATGAACGTTCCCTCAATAGTTAGGGTTGCCCCATCCTCCATTTCTGCCCAGATACTGCAAGGGATGTAGCTGGTTGGATCGTACCTCAAAATAACTGTGAGGCGCTCCAGCATTGCCGCCATATCATTCTAGCTAGTTTTTATTTGTTTGCCAACCCATGCCGCCGAAGGGATGGAATGGGACCACAACCTTGGAATGGGTTCCTTGTCGCAGCAGAGCCTACCACCACAGGCTAAGAGAAACTTACTTGCGAGAGGCTCTTATTTTCGCTTCCAATCCCTTAGCTCCTATTAGCGATATTGTTATACCAAAAAATTACTAAAAATTAACTAATATTACTATTGAAGTAACGGTAGGTCAGTTGTAGCACTGTAATGCTTCCCCCACACTCAAAGTCACCGACCGCCACTCTGTTGCATTATCAACGGTATTTGTTTAGATTGTTGTTTAGATTTAGATTTATTTAGTCAAAAAACAGTAAAAACTGAATGTGACGTATGGGGGAGAAGATAATCTGCGCACGTTTTCTTGAGCTCCCGAATCCCTTCCCATCATTTTAACTATAAATAGATGAAAAATGAGTAAAGGTTTAAAATAAATAAATAAAAATAGTTTTTGAGAAAGCGCGAGATATTTGAAAAAAAAACAGACATTTTCTTTCCCGAGTTATAGAAAACTTGTTTGTATCGATAAACGAATTGCAGGTATCAGATTTTCTGCATTGCTAACAAAGAAGTAACTCGCACTTACCTCTACTCTTACCATTACAAGCAAAAGGAAAGTTCAACAAAACGTGCGCATAGTGAAGCCACATTTACTAAGTCCAGAAGCAAAGCAAGGGGCCATCTCAGCATTTACTCAATGTATCAGGGAAACTGGACAAAAACCTGATCGAGATGGAGTCATTGACCCGGAAGCTGAAGTACATTTTTTGTTAGAAATATATTAAGCCTTTTTAAAAATAAATATACAATACATGTGTAAGCCAATTCAATATATGTCACTGTTTTGTTAAAATAAATATTATTTTTCTTTTTGATAATCAGTATAGTCTCTAACAGTTACGGAGTAGAACAGTTACAGAGCAGAACATATTTTACATTTAACTTGTGTAACAACTTCAATTGTTTAATGTCATCTGGCAATGCGTTGTAAAGTAACGTACTTATATTGTGGATTTCTGATAGTGAGCTGTTGATATTGACTCTTGATGAATTCTACGACGTGTGATGTAATTATAAATATCAGTATTGCATGAAAATATGTTTCCCTCGTTAAGTAAGTCAGTTTTGGCAAATATTACATATTCGTAAATAAATAGACAAGGCAGTGGTAAGATTCCAAGCACAATGAAGAGAGGCTTGCAAGGGTAACGCGGATGGCATTTTTTCATTATTCGAATAATTTTCTTTTGCAATCTAAAAGTTTAAATACTACATGATGAGTTTCCACAGAGTATTGGGCTATATCTCAGGCGGGAATGCGCATTTGCAAAATACACACAATGAGCTGCATGAAGGCTGACAGAATTTGAAAGAATTCTGAATGCGTAACATAATGAACTTAATTAAGTGTTTAATTTTGTTATATGCACATTCCATTTGAGGTTGGTCTGAATTGAAAACCTAGAAATTGTGTTACCTAATTGCATATTGTTCATTTTCAATGGAGCATACGATTGCTGATTTGAAATGCAAAAGTGCATTGAAACTGTTTTTCCTTCGTTAAATATTATTTTGTTATTACAAAACCAATTTGAAACTTCTGAAATCGTACTATTTATTGTTTCGTTTTTGCAAAGAATATTCGTGTCATCGGCAAACACAATCGTTCTTCCGTTTTTAAAAGACGACGGCATATCATTTACTTATAACAGAAAGAGGATATGAAGATCGAGCCTTGCGTGACCCCATATTCAATTGGTAACGAATTGGAAAGTAAACAAGTAAATAATGTTCTTTTGTGCCAGTACAACACTTCTACTCTTTGAGATCGATGTTTAAGGTACGAGATTATCCAATCTAGGGCGATATCACGAATTCCATAAGAAGATAATTTTGATGGCAAGATGTTATGGTCAATAACGTCAAAAGCATTCGAAAGTTCTAAAAGTATTCCAATGTGTCCTTCATTTTGGTCTATTGATGAAGCAACATCTTTAAGAATAGAAAAAAATGGCAGTTTCCGTAGATTTTGATTTTCTAAACCTGTGTTGTGAGTCAGAAAAAACGAAACGTTTTCAGAGAAACGTTTCCATTCGCGTATAGAAAAGCCTCTCTAATATTTTTGAGAAACCTGACAAAAGAGAAATTGGTTGGTAATTTTAAATTTCACTTGTATTAAAATTTTTTAAAAGTGGCTTAATTTTTGCTGTTTTGAAAATATCTGGAAATATTGTTTTGCATCTAGAAGCATTGAAAATGTGAGTTAACGTATTGTAACGTTCCTCCGTGGTGAATTAAAACCAACACA